GCATCATCCGCGCCGTCTGGGGCTGTGGTGACGGCCACGACTACGTCATGGACACAGATTCGGACTGTAGCACGGTGCTGGTCGACAGCGCCTTGTCTGTCAAACAGGAGTGGAACAAGGGCACGGCACAGCACTTAACTGACAACGGGGCAAAGGCAGACAATGCAGAGGCTGTTTCTGCTCCTGAACCCCAGCATGCTCCAGTAAGAACAACTCCTTGCCCGGAGCCTGCAAACAAAGGGACCACATCGGTGCCACTGAACGTAAAGAATGAGCCGCTGCAGAACAGGGATTCATCTCACGCACAACTGGACAGCACAGCCCCCTTGCAGGAGACAGCCCTGCCACAGCCTGTGTCACCAGTGAGCAGTGCCACAGGTAAGGAATTTGCCTTCTGATCCCCCCGAGGCCTCTGGGGAAGGGTGAGGAAACACAGAGTTGGCCGAGGGGCTGGGCCCCCTCCCCAGACACTGCTGTGGTGCAGAACAGTTGCTGGTTCTCCAGCACCACGTTTGCCAGATGTTTCTTTCTGCTCAATCCAAACCCCATCCTTTTGCGGGAAAGGAGAGGCTTCCTGCCCCAATGCAGGAGCCCCTTCTCTCCATAAAGGAAAGTTGCTGGGCTTGTGGGCTGAGTTACTGTTGAACTCCCCCCAGTACCACTTCCAGAAGAGAGGAATTAAATTAACACCGATTTTCGATTACAGAAGTCGGGCTGTGTTTAGTTCTGACAGCCACTGCTGGAAAGGAGAATGGAAGCTGGGACTCACTGTGGGATGAGTCATGAGGGAAACTGAAAGATGCTCAGGGGAACTGCAGGGTAAAGGCTTTCCTGTCCCTGAGCACACAAGACACGGAGTTGGGTTTAAATAATCATTAACTTTATTTGGTGTGAGCCATGCAGAGTGAACCCGGAGCGGCTGGTTCCTTCCCGGCAGCCATCTCCACTGGCTTGATTTTGCTGCTTTTCCTTGTAACACACCGTGTTCTCCTTCATTCCCTAGGACAGTTGAGTGGGAAGCAGGTTCTGTCTGCAACGTCGGATGAGCGGGTAAAAGACGAGTTCAGTGACCTTTCTGAGGGGTGAGAGAAGAGTGGGTTTAACATAGCCTAAATGTCTTCTTTGCGAGTATGACAAACCCGCCTCGGAGAGCTCTTTCTCCACCAGTGACCCAGCCCTCGAGGCCCCTTGGAACCAGTGTCGGAGGCGTGGAGCGATGGGGATGGAGCTCACGCTGCTGGGGTTTGCACACTGGTGTGCGTGGTTTTGCACGCACAAGTGCTCTGTGTTGGCTACTTCCAGCAAACCTGGTCCTGTTTCATTCCCTGGTCTGGGGAAGGAACCATGTGGGGGCTTGCTCGGGCCTGGGTCCTGCTGCTCCAGCCCCTCTGAGCATTCCCCTTCGTGGCTGCTCCAGGCTGGGCTCCACAAGAGCAGTGGTGCAAGGGGTGGCACTTGAAGAGTGATTAAATGGGAAGTGGGAGGGACAATGCTAAGTGGCAGCTTAGCAGTCTTTATAATCAAAGAGTTGGCTAAATCCTTCAAATGCTGGCATTTAAAGTGAGGGTTGTAAATAACTGAGGACTGAGTCTGAAGCATGCCCTAGTGCAGATTTATTTCAGTGTGTCAGCTCACCCCATCAAATGTCACATTAAAAGTGCCACAATAATTTATTGCCTCTTTCTTGGCTTTAGAATTAATTGCTTCTTGTATGGCTTATGACTTGAAAGGAGGAAAGAGTAAAACCCAAACCTATGTGGTTGCTGTGCATGAGGAAATACAGAATGACCTGCAGGTTAACCTGTACCAGACAATTACATTACATTTTGTTCTAGAAAATTACTTTTCCAGTATAGAAAGTGGTGGCAACATCTCTCAACAATAAATAGATCTTTTAGTAACAGCTGGCTTTGTTCTCCTGACAGAAGTTCAATTATTCTTCCAGAGATCTAGTCCTAAAAGCACCCAATTTTGCTATTTGCTTTGTGTACGGGCGCTGTATTTGCCTGAGGAGCTTATGGGGGAGGAGGACACGTGGAGCCTCGGCTGCTGTGCCGTGGGGGAGATGGATGTGCTGGGAACAGAGAACTCGTGCTGCTGCTGGTGCTGAAGTGCCAGGGCGGTGCTGTGTGGGTAAAGGGCATCTTCTTTCTCTCAGGGACTTCTTGAGTGACGATGAAAATGAGAAGAGAAACGTGCAATCTTCAGATGACTCCTTTGAGCCTTACCCCGAGAAGAAGTAAGGGGCTTGTGGTGCAGTGAGCAGTGTGCTCTCTGGGTGAGCGGGAGGGCTGGTGCCTGCTCTGCAGTGGACTTGGCTTGGCCAGTGCCACTGCATTCCTTTGTGGCCTCTGCTCCCTGCAAGTGCCTGCCTGGAGGCCACAGTCATGCCCAGCCCCTGCGTTTCATGAGCTCCCCATTGGGTCCAAGCTCATCCCTCATCTCCAGGCCTTGATGACCACAGCTCAGCTTGTGCACATGCTCCTGCTTTGCCAGGGCAAGCATCAGGCAAAGCTGTCAGACCAGGGCTGACACTTGAGGACAATCAGGTGGGAGAGCTAAACCCAAGATTAAATACTAAACCATTGTTCTTCTTCCCTCTTGGAGGGTTTCTAGCAAGAAAAGTGACAGCAAAGACGTAAAGAAGGCAGAAGAGCCCAAAATAAGGAAGAAGCCAGGACCTAAGCCAGGCTGGAAAAAAAAGATCAAGTGTGAGAGGTAATAAGGAGCTGGGTGGCTGGGCAGTGCCCCTGCTCGGCACGCTGGCTGATGGCAGGGCTCTGCTTCACAGGGAGGAGCTGCCGACCATCTACAAGTGTCCTTACCAGGGATGCACGGCTGTCTACAGGGGGGCTGATGGCATGAAGGTGAGTCAGAGTTTGCTCCTGTCCCAAACCCGATGCTTTGGGTACTGCAGAGACACCTCCACATGAGGAAAGGGTCCCCAGCAGATTTAATTCACTGCCTTGCTATAAGCACTGTAAGCAGTCTGCTGAAAGAAGCCTTTTTCTGTGCTCCCAAACATAATAGGGATGCTCTTCCTGGACTGGAATTCTGCCACTGGCTCAGCAGCAGCCATCAGCCCAAGCTCTGCTGTGTCCCATTACAGCCGCTGCTGCCAGGGTGGAGTTGGGTCCAAGTCTCTGGTTTCTCAGTGAAGCAGCGCCAATGCACGAGCCTGCCAAGATGGTTTTTGAGGGATTCAAGCTTTTGGCTGGGGAATATGCAACCCAGCACTTAGAAGCTTTGTCTTTTCTTCACAGAAACACATCAAAGAGCACCATGAGGAGGTGCGGGAGAGGCCCTGTCCTCACCCAGGCTGCAACAAGGTGTTCATGATCGACCGGTACCTGCAGCGTCACGTGAAGCTCATTCACACAGGTGTGTCCCAGCCCGTGGCAGCGTCACAAACACCCAACACTCGATTGCACAAGGCTTGTAGGTGCCGTGGCAGAGCCCTGTGTGGGGTGTAGAACTGACTGTAAACCTGGAACAAGCCGTTGTGTGGGGGATGCGAGGCAGGGGGAGGAATTCAGGCTCCAGCAGCGAGTGTGGGCAGCTGCACGTGTGCGTTTCCCATACTAGGAAATAAGCAGAATCGATGACTCTCTCCCGTTTTCCATTGCAGAGGTACGTAATTATATCTGTGATGAATGTGGGCAGACCTTTAAGCAACGCAAACACCTCTCGGTCCATCAGATGCGGCACTCGGGAGCAAAGCCCCTCCAGTAAGTGTACACCCAAGTCTGTGTTCATAGCTGAGAGAAGGGTAGTGAAGTTCTGCCAGGCCCTCACAGTCACTGACCTTAGCCCAGAGTGATTCTGTGACACAAACCCTGCCTGTAGCTGGCAGTGTTCCTGTCTGAATCACTTTAAATGTTCATCCACAACGTGCTTCCTGTTGCTGAGCAAACCTTGCACCTCCTCCTGATGCTGTTGCTGTTCTGAGCTCAGCTACCACCAGTAAGCTGCGGGCCTGACGAGAGAATCGCATTGGGTGGCTGGGGTGGTTATAGGAGACACTGTGGTTGTCTTGTGGGCTTGTTCAGTGTGACAGAGAGCTTCAGGCTCGGTGCTGAGCCCCTGCTTTGCCTTGCAGGTGTGAGATCTGTGGCTTCCAGTGCCGGCAGCGAGCATCACTCAAGTACCACATGACCAAACACAAAGCTGAGACAGAGCTGGAGTTTGCCTGCGACCAGTGCGGGAAGCGCTTCGAGAAGGCCCATAACCTTAACGTCCACATGTCCATGGTGCACCCTCTGATCCAGATTCAGGACAAAGCCAAGCCGCTGGAGTCAGAGCCCATTCTCCTAAATACTTCAGGGACTTCAGAAAGCCAAGTGGTAAAGCCAGAAGTGACTGCGCAGCAGGAGCCCACCTGAGGGGGACAGGGAAGCCTTCCCAGTCCAGTCCTGTAGAAACCATACGGCAGAGTGGAGATTTTAAATCTACAGTTTAGTCTCCCAAAGAACTTGGTGGAATTAGCTTCAGCTTGCTCAGAAAAAGCTTGTTTTCATGCTGTGATCCTCCATGCTCACGTCTGATTCAGCAGTGTTGTACTAAGAGTCTGTCTAACCCCAGGGGAGTGGATGTTCGGCAGCACCCCTTCGTGGTCCCCCTTTCTCCCCATGCACACAGTTGTAGAAACAGAGTTTGCCACAACTGTTCCCAGCCTGCAGGAGCTGCTGCTGCCTGTACTGAAGTGCCCATGTGTGGCTCTAGGAGTACCTAGGACAGTGGAGTGGACTTTAAGCAGACATTTTTGTTCTGGATAAAAAAAAAAAAAAAAAAGATTCCCAAAGCAAGTCTAAACTGAAATTTGTAACCTACTTTTTATTGTAACAAGAGCTTCACGGTTATGCTTGTAATAAATTATTTACAAAGTAATTTGAAAGGAAGAGCAGTAGTGAGGAAGTGGCACCTTGTCTGGCCTTTCAGCCATAGGCAGGGTGTTCTGCTGAGCTTGCTGGGCCACAAGCTGCTGCTGCCCTACCTGTCCCTCAGAACAAGACCAGCTCTTCATCCAGCTCCATGGCTGCAGTGGGCCTCAAGATGTGCAGGAGGGTGGCTCCCAGCTCTGGGTCAAGTTCTTCACAGGTGGCCAGTAGCTGGGGGAGAGAGTGAAGAGCATTAGAGCCATTCGTGTGCCTCAGAGCAAGGCCAGAGCCTCTTGCTGCTTCTCAAAAGTGCAGGCAGAAGAGGGAAGCTGTTGCTGACTCGCCCAGAAATAAGAGGGTTTCCTGTGTGACACGGTTTGTGGGAAACTTCAACACACGCCCTGTTGCTGTGCTTGGTATTTTCCCCAAGACCAAGCTTTAAGCAGTGGGAGTGAGACCATGGAAGGGCAGCATTTAATGTTGCTGAGGAAGACGGAGCCTGCAGCCTGGGATAGGGCTATAGCAGTGGTTGAGCAGCAGGTGTCCTCCACTGCTCCCAAATGAGTTACGGAAACTCAGTGTGTGTCACAGGCTCAGCAGGCAGCACAGCACAGGATCAGTCCCCAAGAAAAGCAGGGTGGGGAAGAGGGGAATCTCAACGCACCGGTTGTATGTTTTCAAAGCTTTGGGCAGGGCATCGTGGGATCACACCAAGCAGGAACCGCCGGGCTGTGGAGATCACCTCCAGGGGATCCCCCTGGAGAACACAGGGAAGAGACACAGCCAGTCAGGTCCAAGCACAATGTCACTTTGAGTTCTCAGTTCCCTCCTTCAGAAATTAAAAGAGGAACCACTCCACCACACCAAGGGGCTGTTCACAAGTTAAGCAAATCAATACAGCCACCCTAAGGTCCCATGCAAATAAGGCAGTTTTAGGCAGCAGCTTTTCTCATCCCTAAGGCCTGAGCAAGCTGCCTGTCTGCCAAAGCACCTGCACAAGCTTCCTCTGTCTTGTATGGGAAGGTGGGAACAAGAGGGATGCCACAAGTGGCAGGGGAAGGAATAAAGAATAGGATTCTCTTTTTCAAGACAGAGAGAGACCAAGCTTCACTCACATGCTCTGTGGGGCCTAGGCTCTGGCCTGCAGGATCTGGCTGGGGCAGGTCTTTCCCTTCCACAAAGAGCCGAAGCAGCTGGATGTAGAAATCGAGTGCCACATAGAGGAAAGTCTGCTCCCGAGTGAGCAGCTCGTGGTGAAAGCCCGGGGTGAGGCTAGAGGTCACACAGCACGTCTGGTTAGCACTGGCTCCACAGCAGACACACAGGGCAAACACAACCAGTGTGAATGCTCTGTTTTACAAGCCCCATTGTGTGCAGGGCCACCCAACTGCCCAGAGCAGGCCAGGCAGGGACGCTCCTGTTTGGAGCACAAAGCTGAAGAGAAACTCCAGCAAAAGATATGGGGCTCCTTAAATAGGAATCCTTCCAAGATCAGGTATTTTCTCCTGCACAGCTAAGGTAAGAGCTCAGCTCACCTACAGTCCAGCAGTAGTTACCCCCATGCCAGCTGCTGTACAGAGAAACCATCACCCACACCCCTCCTCACAAACACCTTCTGAGCCCAGCAGGACGTTACCTGTAGAATGCCAGAGGCAGGAGCCGGATGTGACGGTCCGAGGCTGCGCTGCGCAGGACACAGTACTGCCTAGGGTCTGCAGTGGACAAAAGAGAAGCACTAAGCATCTTTCGCGGTCCTTATGCCACTCTGCATGCTGCTGCAGCACAATTTTCTTTCAAGCCAGTGAGGCTTCCTCTACCAGAGGGAACAATACTGAGTTTCAGTCATTCCTGATCATCAGCTGGGTCACCAGACTGCAGGATATTAGCAGGATGTTCTCAGCTTTTACTGAAACAAGTATTTTTTTTGTGCTGCTGACAAAGGCCCACCAATTCCTTGTACACTCATTGATCAGAGCCAGGACGTGCTGGTCCAGCCATGAACCTCACCTTCCCACCCCATGGAGGCACTCACCTTTCTCTGCTGAATGGAAAAGCAGTGGCCAGGATGCACCTCTCTCTTCCAGGCACTGCAAGATCTCCAGGGACCATTCCAGAGACACATGAAAATCCACTCCTTCCTGGCCATCAGAAAGGACAGGTCTAGTTTGTCTTACACTTGATACGCACCAAAGCAGAAAGGAACCGCTCACAAGAAATTGCGTACATGAAGAGCTCCACTAAGGGACCTTTAGGAATTTAGCCCACATCTTTCCCCTCACCTGGCAGCCTGGATTCCCCTGGGCAATCAGGCACCAAAGCAGTACAGTGCCTTCATCACCAAACACAGCCACCACAGGGCTCAGTTGGGAATGATTTGTGGAGAGGGGGAAGTAGAATCAATGAGCAACTGACTCATCCACAGCGTGCTTCCCAGTGGTGCTCAGCACCCATCCTTCTCCCCAGAGTAGGCTTTTTCCCCTCTAACCTTTCTAGTGACAGCATGTCTTGGGGTTGTGGGGCTGGGTTTTTTCCTTGCATTACTTATTTTACTTGGAATAACCTCCCAGATATTTCTTTCCTCAGTGACTCTTCCTCCAGATTCTTCCAAAGGCAGACTACGAGATCAACTGATTGTTTCACTGGAATCTGCTCCCTGATCCAATCTGTAGGCGACTACACAAAAGGCTGCACTTCAAAGCTGTGAAGACAGCAAAGGGACAGAAACAGGCATTCACAGGCAGGAGGGTGCATAGGGCAGGCAGCTGCCGGAAGAAACCTGTCATCTTTGCTCCTTCATTTAATAGCATTAAATCATTTGGAAACAAAAGTTCCCCCTTGCTGAGGACCCCTTCTCCTGTGAAACACCATGTACGCTCCCAGCCTGAGGAAAAACATCATCTAACAAATATGAAATGCTACACAAAAGAGAAGAGAGAGAGGAGGTTCCTGAACTACCTGGGAGGTGTAAAGTCTGGACAGGGAACTGAAAATAGTAAGTCATTCAGGAAGAGAAATGAAAGCTACTGTAGTGAAGGGAAAATAAGGTCAGTTAGAGGGAAATACAGGTTTAATCTGGTTGGAACAGAGGGCTTTCAGCAGGCCCTGTCTGGGATGTCGCTGATCCCTTCCTTCTGGCAGAACAAGCCACCAGCCTCCGCAGTACTGGTACAAAGCATTTTTAGGCAGCAAACCAAGAAGATCAGACGGATTTAGTGCCATGAGAATTCCCTCAGGGTTGAATTTACCTTTGGTGCTATTTTTGCTGAGATGAGATCCATGAGTGAGAAGAACAGCAGAGAAACAAGAAGCTGCAAGGAAAAGAGACTGCCTGTTAGTGGTATCCGTGGTGGTGACTCAGAAGGCACGCTTTCCCATTGGGAAATAACATTTCACTGAGTACATTCCCAGGATGGACCTGGATGAACCACAAGCACTGCTGTTCCTCCCAGCTGAAGGCAGTGTCTTTAGAGAGGACAGCCTGACGTTGTTTGTTGCTTCTAAATGTGTATTACACACCCCAATGCACTGTTCCCGAAGTCAAGACAACAGCTGACAACTTCTTCCAGTGAAGGGAAAACCAAGTGAGCTACCACAGACATAAACCTGGAGGAGAGCTAGTGTTGGTCCACAGCCAGCATATCACCAGCAGATGCAAGTGTATCATAATCCTGTCCTGACATACACTGGTTATCACTTTTCTGGATCCCAACTGCATAAATCAAAGACTGCAGTGGCTTTGTGATCCTGGAAAGTTAAAGTAACTTCTTTATTTGTGCTGCTAATCCACTTGTAAAGCTAACCCTCCTTTCTTATCTCTGTCTGAGAAAGGAGAGGGCCAAGTCAGACAGCACGTTCTATGCACAGCAGGTCTGTCTGCACATCCATAGTGGTCAGGGCAGGAAACATGGCAATGAGAGACCTCACCCTTCAGCTGAGAGCATTCCAGAAGCACAGACTGCTGCATGTGGATGAATCAAAGAAAAAGGAGAGGCACATGTGGAACAGTTAGGTTCCTTGGATTTAACCAAAGTGTCTCAGCCCTAAAAGGTGAGACAAAATCCCACAACACTCCCCTTTCTGACAGAGATTTGCCCCTTAACACTGCCACCTGAAGGGATTCAGCACCTGACCCCACTCCAGTGCTGTGCATGGGACCAAGTCCCCACCACGGAGAGATCTGTGCAATCCCACCAGCACCAGAGCAGCAGTTGAGGGTGTGAGCTGGGGCCTGAACACCAGTCAGCCACTGGGACCCCCAGTGTTCTCACGCTTTCTGGCACCCTCCTCCTCTCTCAAGGCAGGTTTTCTGAGGTGAAAGCTGCTATTACTCCACATGTACCAAATGCTCACATGAACTCAGTGACACCAGTTTCTGACTAGCAGCTTTTGGCTCTTGGCCAGTATAAACAGTAGCAGAGTCAATCCCATAGCAAGAGGAACTGCTACCCTCACTGCTGCCCCAAGCAATAAAACTGAAGAGTAAACAGTAAGGCACGGGTTCCATTTCAACAGTGTTTGCCTGTGAATGTCCCAGTACAGAGACACTCCCCATATGGAGCTCTAGTCCCAGCTATCCCCTGGAAGATCAACAGACAGCACTGCGGGGCAACAGCCCAGCTGCCTCCTCAGCAGGGTGCTTCAGAGAATTCCCATGCACTGAGGGCACGGAGAGGCATTTCCTGGAACAGACTTGGGAAAAGCCTCCGGAAATCTCTCCCTGGAATTCTCAGCACATCTTCTGAGAGCCCTTGAAACATGTGCATTCTTGTCTCAGAGACCGTCTGCATCTCCTTAATCTTCCAGCCAAGTTGCCCAAGCTAAAATCCACAGGGACTGCTCCTTTGTCAGATAGAGAGGTGATCCTAGCATGCCATGGATTGAGCTCTCAGTCTCTGCAGTGCTCTTTCCGGCTTCAGTTTTTAAAGCTGCTGTTTATTAGTTCTCCCTGGCTTCACAAAGGAGTCAGTAATGAGTTAAAAGTTAAAGTTTGGAACAGCTTTGCCTCTAGGATAATTATTTAGCAACTGATATTTTACAGCTTCATTTTATCAACTAGTCATCAGCAAGATTTCACAACAGGGTTTACCAGGGGCACAGCAGTATCTCAGGACAACCATTTCTCAGCTAAAGACATTCTACTTCTAGCCTTCAAGTGGTGGGAACAGCAGATGCTCAAAGTGTGCCCAGTCTTGCCTGTTGTGTGTCAGTCCCCAGCCTCTTCACTGCCTCTCTCTCTTGTCCACGTGGTGACTGCTGCTGAACAGTACAATGGAGGAAGGCAGCTGAAATCCAAGGAGGGTCAGAGGGAGAGAAGACCACTCCTGAAGAAAGGAAGCTAGGAAACAAAACCAGCATGTCATGGGTTTGGAAGAAAACAAGGTAGGGGGAAATCAGCTTTGAATGAGGAGGAAATCAGGGGCTTGAGCAAAGGTGTAAATTTGTGGCCAAAAATTCTTCTCTCTTAACTTATTTCCCCTGCAATTGGATGCTATGTAGAAACAATTTAAAAAAAAAAACCAAAAAAAAACCCCAACAAACCAACCCAGAAGCAGGCAGAAGCATTCCCAAATCTCTTATCAGAGGTTGGGCAAGTTGTTAACTGTACACTCTACTACAGAAGCAAGTGAAGCAAGGAGATTCTTACACTGAATTCCCAGCTTTTGGAGAAAAGTACCAGTCTGTTGAGCAGACAGCAGAACAGCTAAAGAAGGAAGCATAGAGAGAAGCAGTGGGTAGCTTCAGGAGACCAGAGATTCGCCAAATCGGGGAGCAAAGGGTGCGGCAGCTTAAACAAATGACTCAACACTGTGCTAAAGGCTATTTCCAGTGTTTCTCTAACAAGGACTCTGCCTTCCAGTCTCCTCTAAAAAAGATTCTTTTCCTTATGGTGAAACACTCTGACCCATATTACACAGAAGGCCAGACTAAGTAATTATAATGACCCATTTTGAGTTTAAACTCTACAAAGGAATCTGTATATAGCTGTCCTACAAGCCTCAGTCCACATTAGCATCTCATGCAGCCTGGTGAAACCCAGCCTGGCTCAGAGAACAGGCCTCCTGGGTGCCCATCCCTCAGAGAGCAGGTTCTCCTGTTGCAGATCCACACTCGGGTTCTCATACACACCTGGTAGCTGAGGACTTCAATTCCTTCAGTCTTTCCAGTTCTTCTGCAAGCGGAACCCCAAAGAGTCTTTTCCACTGAGAGCAAAGTACTGGCTCCAGCCTCGGCCACCAAAGCTAGGAAGAAGGTCAAACCAGCAGTGTTAGTGGTGGTGAACTCAGTAGTTACCATGCATATCTGACCGCAGACATCTCAGCCAGGTACTTGCAGAAAGGGATGTCCATCTCCTCCCCTTACTGAAAAAGTCCAAACTATACATTCACACATAAAAGCCATGAGAAGTTTCACATCCTGGAAATGCAAAGAGGGTAATTTGTGATCACGTTCATACCATGCTGCTCCGAAACTCCTCTAGCAGGACCAGTCACAGAATCCTAGAATGGTTTGGGTTGGAAGAGACCTTAACGCTCCTCCAGCTCCAACCCTCTGCCATGGGCAGGGACACCTTCCACTAGAGCAGGTTGCTCCAAGCCCCTGTGTCCAACCTGGCCTTGAACACTGCCAGGGATGGGGCAGCCACAGCTTCTCTGGGCACCCTGTGTCAGCGCCTCAGCACCCTCACAGGGAATAGTCTGTGCTTTATGCACTTTCTGATTGCTTGGCACGTAACAATCAGCCCCTTCACTGTGCGTCTGAACCCCAGACAAGTCTCCCAGCTTCTCTTAAACAGCCTCTGTTCCTCTTGTATAGTGGTACTCCAAAACCAAGGCTGAATGCCCAGAGCTGGAATCAGAGATACAAGGGTACAAAACCACTCCATGATTTCCCAAAGGCATTAAGAATTTCCCCACACACACTTCACAGTTTGCATTAAACGAAGTTTAAGACAAGTGCTCTAAACTGCTACTTATCTAGCCATGAAATAAGAACAGTTACCGCTGCAGAGAAAAGCACAATGGGACACTTGGTTTGACACGCTGTTAGAACATCATTGATCCCTTCTGCAAATTCCTCACAGTCCAAGCTGGCATTAAGCAGGCCCTGGAAGGGGATAAATTACATGATGACTACACACGTATGTCTGTGCTGCTTTGAAGTATCTCACCAAGCTGTGTGTAAACTAATCAAAGGTAACTGTAGGGGTCAGCATGGCCCAGCAAAAGAAATGTGTGCCCAACAGCTTTTCCTTCCCCCGTCAGCTTTGGTGTGTTGTCTTAAAATTAACCTCTACCATTACTTCCTCCTGCTACTTCTCTGCATTTTCCTGGATTACTGCTTCTCTTTTTGGAATTTAAACCAACGATTCTCAAAACAAGAGTACAAATAGGATTTCTCATTGCCAAGAATAGCATACAGTTGGGTATCTGGTGAGGAAACACCTACTCTGGCTAGCAAAGACAGTGGAACAGAATGACAAAAGCAGCAGTTACCCTGAAGAAATGAGCAGTGATGTCGTAGGAGAGAGCATAACCTCTGGAACAGACGTTCTTCTGTGGGAAGAGAAGGAGAGGAAAAAAAATCATTCCCTCCCTTTTGAAATATGATTTTCTTTGAACATTTTGGGTGTCTGGCCCAACAGGACTCAGCACAAAATCACCCTCTGAGATCCTGAGCATCAATTCAGACTGCAGAAATCTCATTTCTACATGAAGCAACACCATTGACTAGGTGGTGCTTTACAGTCCAGCACCAGAAAGCAAATCAGACAGCCATGCTCACCACACATGGATGGCAGAAGCAGGTTGATTAAGTCTTGGAATGAATGGAGGTTTTTGGCTGTGCCTAACATGACAATGCAGAAGGGCTTGAAAAGGCAGTCAGGATGTATAAACAGAAAGGATAGCTATTCTCAGAGCACAAAACAGTGCCTTGGGAGATCTTGGTGTCAGCTGATCTCCCAGGAAGCTGCAGAGATCTGCTTATCCTCCTGTGTTACGCACGCTAGAGAAACATTCAAGGGATGACACACAAGACAGCACCCCCCAGGCTGCTGCATGTGTGTGCACACCACAGACATACATTGTCATGAACAACACAACTGGAAAGAAAACTCCTACCACCCAAGAACTGGCCAAGCCACCACCAGGCTACTCTATAAACACCCACCGGTGGTTCTACCCCTGGACTGTGCACTCCCAGCTCCAACCACTGCTATGCTGGCTGGCTCCACCCGAGATTTTCCAACACTGTTTCCAAGGATTCTCTCTCCATAGCGAAAAATGCCACCACAATTCCAAATGAATAAACCCAAAAGCCATCATCCTACAGCAGAGAGTGCTGAGGAGACCTCTGCAGACCTAGGGGCTGGAAAGTCTTGAGCTCGATGAGTAGAATGTCCTTATGATCTAATATAAGCTAAGTTTGTTCCAAGTTTGGCTGCATTTTAACTCCTGTCCTTTAAGGTCTTAATCTAGAGCATTTACCAACAAGAAATTAGTGTTTGGCTAATGACACATACCAGCTCTGAGTTCACAAAACGGAAAAAGTCTTCACAGTCCAACACTGTTTTCTTTCCTTTTCGACATGTCATGATCAGAGTGGATGCAGGGAGCCCCACCAGGACCCTTACAAAGGGCAAAACAAAAACAAAACTGAGGTTAACATCAGGAAGAGAATCAGACTCCATGCCCTTGGAGCATGTGCCTTTGACATCAAGGGGAGTTTGAGAGATGTCAAACGTGAAAGATCTCAAACTGACTGCAGATCTCAAACACTGACTGCAAGAAACTGCACAAGGAATTTTTCTCATTGCCAAGAAACCCCCCTGCATTTCCATGATATATACACAACTTCCAAAGATACTAGCAATGGCTCAAAAAATGGACATGCACACCTAGCTGACAGCAGCAAATAAAGTAATCTAACAACAGTTACAAGTGCTTGCAAGAAGAATGGCTGTAAACATTGCCCATGAAGACATGGGTGCCTTTGAAATCCAGTCTACTGGCAGGGCCAACTAGAGCCCAAGGCAGCAAGACACTTATTTCACATGGGTACCAGGGAATAAGTCTCTCTTGCACATTTGTTACCATGACAATAGTGTCCTCCTCACTTGTGGTGGAATCAGAGGAGGGACTACCCAGCTACACTAGAATTTCTTTGATCAGCAGTTTTGTTCAAGATATTCCCAGCCAGTTAGATCTGCACTTACCTTCTGTGCAGCAGCAGCTCCTGCTGCCTCCACAACTGCTCACCCAAAGCAGAGCCAGGTTTTCTGTCTTTCAGTCTTTCCTGGAGAATCTCCAACAGGAAGTGTCTGGTGCAGCGAGGAAGCAACCTCTGCCGACACCCCAGCTCCAGCACCATCTCCTAAACAGGGAGATGGGGCGGGAGGGAGGAAACAACAGAGTTTGCCAGGACTATACACTAGTTTGCATTCAGACCCTCTATGTTTCTCTGAAGTAATACAAAGAGATCAGTAAGAAAAACCTTCCTCCCCATCAGTTTCCATGCTACTGCTGACATGGAGAACCGAATATCAGCCTTATTTACACTGAGGTATTAGGAAATAATTTCTTACTCTGATGGGTCAAATTCAAGGCTTGAGTGTACAGATACACAGAGTATGAAATCACCTGCAGCTTGCAGAGGATATCAGGATTGACAGATTTCTTTGACTGGCTGCAGCTACCCAGGTCCAACCTGAAATTAAGAGACATATCAGGTAACTAATCCTGTTAGCCCAGCAGGATAATACCATACAAACAAAGTCAAATAGCTTCAGATGAACATAAAGCTCTAACATTAATGTTCCTTAAATAAGCTGTAGGTGAGACAGCAACTCTCCTCTAAACCTCCCTCATTTTCCAGCTTCAGCCGCTTCCTCAGGGGCACTGGTGCTTGTCTGGCCAAACAATCTGAATACAAATTCAACATAAAGGCAGACAGACTAGGGACTCTGTGACTGCAGCCCCAGACCTCTGTCACCCAAAACAAGATTCTTATGCAAAGACTGGTGAGTCCTGCAGGGCCACCTCCCAGCTTTCACTTCTAACCAGACCTGTGAGAAGGGAATTGTTTCCACAGTCCCATGTGAGGCACAAGCTCACAGCCCCTGGCTTGCACGGTCATTAGCAGAACCATTGCTTCTGCAGAAATGCAAGTCATGATGCAGAATACCTTTGTGAGGAATCCAGAATGGCATTGATAACAATGCCACATGCCTTCTCTAGGTCTCCATCGCAGCCACCACAAGCAGAAGGTGAGGGAAGATACCACTGATAGATGGCCCAATAATGGAAATCCTGCCTGCAGTATTGAAAAGGAGAAGATAGGAAATCTTATCACAGATTAGATTTTAATGGTGCTCTTCCCTTGATGTAAAAGGAAGCTCACACAGCAAGTAGAATGACAGATAAAAGCACCCATACAAGTACAAATAGAAAAGTCATCCACCCAACACCACATGTTCTGATGTCAATCATCTCTTGCTTCTGGAAACAGGGAGGTTTTGTGAAAAGTTATTTGGAAGGACTGCACATGCAGGACAGAGCTTATCTGGGTACACTTCCTCAGTTTAACATGCCTCATTCTAGCATTGCTGCAACTCTGGACAAACCATAGTAGTCAACAGGCATTTCTGCCCTGCAACAGCCAGTTTATTTACTTCCTGATCTTCAGTACTTTTTCCTGATATGGGGTAGTAAAGACTCTTGAGCTATTCAACAGAGCCCCTCTGCACTTACCTTTCTGAAGCAGACAGAATATCCTTTTCAGGGTACACTTCCAGCTCCAACAGCAGCCACTCTCTGAAAGACAACTGGGAAAAGCAATGAGTTAGGTAAGAGGGCAGACCAGCAAGGCAACTTGTGCAGAACAGTCACCTTTTTCCCCAACATAAAACCCACCTTCACCCACCCCCATACACAACCCTGCACAGGTTAAGACAGATGAGACAGCAAACATCAGCCCAAAGAAATTCTTGTGCTGTTTCCCTTGCAAGAAATCTAAACTAAGACCCCACTGGCATTAAAAATTTACTGAAAATGAGCCTATAAAACATCTCACACACACCCACATACACCCACCCCTCTGACATTTCCAAACATGCTCATCATCTCAAAGTCTAGATACCAGAATGAACACATGTTATTAGAAATAAATGCTAAATGAACAAAGCACCATAGTCAGACAGATTGGTACAAGCATCAAAGAAAGGTTTTAATGCAAAGCTATTTTAGCCTTGTACATCAAGCTAGCCAAGCACAAGGAGTCATTCTAGTAACATGACAAACTCCTCTGCACAAAGACAAACTGGTTTTATATGAACCAGGTTAAAAAAAGAAATCCTGTCCAAGGGTGGTATAAAGAGAATAGCTGTGATTTTAACCTGCTTCTCAGCAAGGCAGAGCCAAAAAAATCAGAGAAACACAGGTGGTTCAGGAGAACATTGACATTCAGGCAAAGCACCAAAAAAAAAAAAAAAAAAAAAGCAAGTATTTTCAGTTATTTGACTCACCACCACTTCACAGGCAGTACAGAGCAGGAAGCTTAGGCTACGGACAGGCCTCTGCTCTGCACTTCCTGGCCATTTTCTTACTGATACAGTATAACTTGTCAAGCTTTCTGCTTTCACAATTTGCAGGATGAAAAACTTGACTCTGATTTTCTATTTCTACCTTACCATCACCATCAAAACTTACAAATAACACTGAGCACGTGACATCTTCAGCTGTCAGACCAACTTTTCAGGCATTAAGTTTTTACAAGCAGCTTTTTATCGCCAGTAAGGAAATGCAAAGGGCAGATCTGAAAAAATGAGAATTACAGTGTGAACTGAAGTCATGGTAAATATTTATACCTGGAATGCTTCTTCTTTCAAGAGCTCTTGAAATCGTGCTTGTTTCCATAAACAGAGGCTGGCTCTTCTGTAGTTCAGAGAGGGATGTGACAGGGAACTCCAGAGTAGGTCCGTTTTAGCCTTTTCGCACAGGATTCCACGAGCTTCCAAGCTCAGCCGTGGCACGATGTACTGCAGCTAAAACAAAGGCACAGACCCCTGCACATTTCCATCACACACAAAAAAAGGCTCAGTGCAACCTCTGGTTGTGTGACACTACCAAACAAGCAAATACACAAAATGCTAAGATGGGAGGATACCAAGATGCGTTTTTATGTAAGTTCCTTTGCATGAGTTAGAGTTGCACAGGAGTCTGCAGCAGGAAATTGAACTGAGACTGATCATTCTCATAAGTAAGGGCAAAACATTTTTCCTTTTACCTTTTTAACAAGGCTAGGAGGAAGCAAGGCACACAAATCCTCATGAGAGCAGGATGAAAACTTGCACATAAGGTAAGATACCGCTGCAGTGCAAAACCTGAGAGAGAAAAAGAAGAAACACGAAGTCCAAAGTCAAACAAAGAGTGAGTATTAAAAATGCTTTTAACCTATTTGCTTTTGAGAGCACTTCATGTGCTTTATGAGCGTCCCTCCTGTGGCAAACCTACACCAGGGAAGCAAGGACCTGTGGTGGAGGCAGGACCTCACCTCATGCAGAAGGCAAACGATTCTTCCGTCCTGCACACTAGCAAGCAGTTCCAGTACTCAGCAAGGGAAAGGAGCTTTGCAGGAACAGGCAGAGAAATCCCAAAATTGGCTTCCACTTCAGGAATTAAAGCTCTGGATTCGCTTAAGTGGACCACAAAAGCTGCTAGACCTAAAATATGAGCATCATTCAGGGAAGGACCCTGCAAGACAAACACACGCACAGAACTAGAGAGACATACATTGAGTTTGTAACAAAACCACCTTTCTCGGGGGGAAAAAAAATAACCAGAATTAATCAAGTAGCAGAACATTTACTTCTGCCCATTGACTAATTAGTGCAGCAGTATCAATTTAGCAGATGAGAGGCACCAATTACATCAAACATGTTCTTCCTTCCTTGAAATTGTGCAGCTATCTTTGGTCAACCTGCAGCAAAATTTAGATGTTTCTGTAACACAGTAATTTAAAGAAACTAGCTGTAAATTCAGCCCAGCAGAACTGGAGATTTTCAAGGCTTTTAGCTTCTATGACATTTTATCAGGCTTTTAGTCTGAACCCTGCAATATCATAGGGTAAAGGAAATTAAACCAACAGTTCTTGAGAAGCCACACACTGCTGCACCCCAGATTTAGGGTATTTTTAAAAGGGGTGTACCACTGTTATTCAGCGTGGAAGCTCAGGAACTAAGTGTTCTACTAGTTTTCTTTTGGCTTGTTCATATACTTGCTTATTTTAGCTGCTGTATCTCAGAATGCATTAACCTTCTAGCCTATGTATTTCTGCAGGAGAACATTCAGCTCACACTCCTGAGAGCAAGTTCATGCTACTGGACCAAAATGAAGGTTTTTTTGAAGCTTGAACACTAGAGAAGTCCCTCCAGGATGTAGTCCAAATAGGTACATGCCCCACAGCACAGAAAAGGGAAGTAGGATAGCCTTTAGTACACTATAACCATATTATTCTTGGCTGGAAAACTAACCTGGTGATAAATAAGCTGGCAGAGCCTGCGCAGAAGCCCAGGTAAGAGATTCCTGTGTCCACATATCATCTTCACAAACAAGGAGAGACATGGTCCCTGCCTGCAGGAGGGAAAACCCACATGCTCATTTGACTGCTGCTTTTTATCCCCAGTACAGGAAGAGGTATTTAAAAATGCTTAAACATAGTGAACCTGAGCCATGCTTGTAAATACAAGATAATTATCATTCCATCTAAGGGTTCAAAGGAAGTGTCACTTTTGGAGTATCTGAGCAGAGGACCCCTCCAAAGACATGAACACCTCCAGTGTCTAATATATAGTCTAAGAGGTGTTCCGAGATAACAAAGAGAGGCGGAAGCTGCCTGGGGCACAGTCAGCTTTCTTCAGACAGAGAGCACAAGGTAAACAGAGGCAGAGCAATAAATGGGATAAAAAAAAAACAAAGAGCAGAAAAGGAATTAATATGGCAAGGTCCTGTTGCAAAACAGGAGAAGGGACTTTCCCACCCAGCTGACAAAACCCAGCACATCCTCAGAGGAGATGGGATGGGGAGTTGGGTTTAGAAGCAATTTCCTGGAATGCCCTTGCTTGTCACAGCTATTTTTCAGCACAGGTTTTGATACAGATTCACTTGCTCCAGGGCAAAACAAGTCAAAAGAGGGAAAGATGGACTAGTTGCCACAGCACGCTGCACTCCAGGGGGCAGGCACCTAGTTCAGTGCCACTGGAAGCTGGGCTTGCAGGCAGCTTGTAAGCACACTGTTGTTTCCCAACAAAGCCATTTTCCACTGAAATGTTAACCAGACTACAATGTTTACAGACTTCTGTTACACCAGAAAAGAGGTAGCTATTAACAGAGTCCTTCCAGAGTCAGTGGAGTGCTGCCTCTCCCTCCTCATACAGGCCAGCATCAAACTGAGTCACTTCCAAGGGGAAAAGGGGATGGGAGGTAAAGAGAAGGTGTATCCTGCTCTTCCTGTACTTGCAGCGTTAGGCTTTATGCCTCACCTGTTTCATATTATATATGGCATTAGGGAAGAAGGGTGAATGTGCCAAAAAGACACCCCAAAGACTCATCAGCGCTCGCTGTCAGAAGACAAGCATTCTCCACCCCTGATCTCTAGTGTCAGCCAGCAAGTAATTCCTGGACAAAAGGAATTTGTTTCATTCCCCATCCTCCACCACTGAGCTGAAAACACCAGCCTGAGCACATAGGTTTTGTAGAGAGTTTTTATACATTGTCACAGAGCACAAAGTAGAGCCAAACGCCACCTTCTTCTGAAGGGATCAGTAATAAAAGAGGAGAAACATGTTTTATTTACACATACACATCAAAGCACATTAGTTCTTAGATTACAGAGCCTCAGAATAAAACAGCCTGCAACTGCCAGCCTGGCACAGTGGGTATGGACAAGCAGAAGTCTCTCCTCACCCCTGGACAAGTGTTGGAATTCTAATGCATTAACCACTTTTGATTTCCCTACTTTATCTGCATCTTACCTGTCAGGAGGGTTAAAGTAGGAAGCAGCGATTAGGTTTTGGCAGAATGATGACAGTAGAAGATCGACAACCTGGAATTGGAGACACGTTGCTAATTCCTACTTGTTGGGCTGGATATCTAGATTTAGTTTTCTGCCGTGTATATGTTTCCCAACATTAAAACAAGGAGACAAATCAGTTAATGACGTGTGCTACAAGTTGTACAGATCCACTAGCACTAAGAGATGGAGAATTAAGCCAGTAACAGCTCAGGAATGATCCCACCAAACAACAGAGACAAGCCTGGTGAGGAAAGCCTAGCCCATTACAGGACTGCTCTGATAGAGTATCTCTCCAGATCTCGTCAGCAGTTATCCAACAACTTCCAGGAGGTTAAAAGATATGAACAGTCTGTAAAGGGCAGGACAAGGTAGATAAAAGGAGAAATGTACTTCCTGTTCTCCACAGACAAAGCGGCCTTTCACACAGTACTACCCAGATGCATTTTTACCCACCCAACCCCTCGTTTCTCACCCCAAGGAAGGCTGTACTCACACTCTGATGGCAGGGCTCCAGCCTGGGGGCAGAAATGTCAATTTGGATTGGAGAATGCAAAGTAGCAGCTTCACTCTCATCACTGCTGTGACCCAAGACTTTTGCCAGACTGTCAGAAACCACTGCAACCTGTGCTGGCACATCTGCAGGAAGGTTGACAGGAGGAGAGGAGGACCAGGACAGAAAGCACAGAAGATTTACAATTCCACATAGCAGGAAGAAGAACAAGTGAAATATGTACTCTAATTGATCAGAGCCCAAAATATGTTAGTAAAAGCTTTAAGGAGCAAAAAAAAAGTTAAATGGAACACAGTGATTATTGCCTTCATTTTAGAAGGCAGCGCTATTTTTTTCCCAGTTAATGTGTATTGCCAATACACATTGAGAATAGTTTTTCACACCAGAAAGAAAACAGCCTTCAAAAGGGGGCCCAGATCACCAGGCGAGACCCAGGAACAGGGCTGCTTGCCTTGGCAAAGATCAATGTGGTATCAAGTATCACCACAGAGACCTGAAGTTCTGAACTCAAGCATGGAAACAGGTCAGACACT